GTAACAAGATGGCGGCCGGAACAAAGACAAAGGACAAAAGAAGGAGAAAACTATTAGAAATATACTTAGAAATAGAACAGCCGAAAACGAAAAGAATGATCAAGCAACCCCAAAGGTGTACGAAAATACACTACTTACCGCGAGGAATAGCACCATGGGGGAACCGTCGACGGGACGGAATTCGCACCACTAGCAAACAAACATAGTCTCAATGATGATGTAAAATTTATTGACCGATTTTCATGCCGCCTTTCTTGAATCGATGGTATTAGCATTGACTTTCGCGTATCACTATCCTTTGTGAGAAATGAGTAAATTGCGTTTCTACTCATGTTCAACGATTCAACGTGTCTTTAACCTGCAAATCTTTATCTATCATATTGCATACAGCAGAACTGACTCGGTGGATTTGAAGTGAAGTGCATTTGAAGGGTTTCAAAATGGCATTGGTGTGTGTAGATGGTAAGGCTCGTCTTTTAACTTCTTACTTTTAATAAATTCTAGCGCCTTACGACTACTGTTCGGCTTGACCGATCTGGAAACTAATTGAAAACCAGTCCAAGGCGTAAGCGGCCAAGTAGAAAACTTTTCCACGGGTTCTACAATTTTGCTTCCTTTAATATTTAGCTGAATTATTAACAGTAGTTCTAGTTTACGAGAACAAATTTCATGCTCTTTTCTGACTTAATTGTAAATTTGCTTTATGTCGCGGGTTTTTGTACTTTCGAAATATCTCGCTCCGTTGTCATTCAGCCATTGACTTCGAGTGTTCGTTTGAAAGTCTTTTGCGACTCAGAAAATGACTTTAGCACGTCAGCAAAGGCCCCAAAGGAACGATACCGCCAATTGGAGCTTACAATCGTTGATTGGAACATATTCTTACTCAGTGGGAAAGAGCAGGATCTAGTTCATGAGGCCGCAAAGTAACAACTCGATATAGCAGAATTCTCGTCAACGAAGCGCCAAGGCTCTAAAATTTTGAGCCTCAGAAGGAATTCCGCTCAGATATCGAGTTTGCACACCGCGCTCAAGACTTTTCTGGAGTTCGGGTAGACTGAATCACTGAATGGAAGCATGTCAGCAGAAGAGCGGCAGTATACAAACTGAAAGTACAACAGGCTGAAGCATCGATTTTGTTAAAGGTCTATGCGCCGAAGTAGCAGGGACAATATTAGTCCTTCCTTGAGGAAATGAAAGGTGTTCTGTAAGAAGTCGTTGCAGTTTTGCATTGCTGAGTCAATGCACTTCTCGTAGTAGGTACTGAAACGTAGAAAGGTGTGATTCAGAAGAACGGCCCTAATGACCTCAACGATAACGGAATGAAGTTGTTGCGGTTTTGAGTAAACAGCAGACTGTATGTTATGAACACCGTCTTCGAGCGTTGAAACGTGCTTTAATATAGCATACCTTTTGCAGTGAATCTTGTGCACAGAAGTCGATGATCGAACTGATAATTGCATCGTCTGTTTTACAACGCTCTGTAATGGATGTTCGCGTGAAGAGAGTCACAGACCTGTCAATCGATCACCACCTTGTTGTTGGCACACTGCTGTGAGAAATGGAGTACCATGCAACGATCTGGTGGCAGAAGCAACCAGAGAATCAAACAGAAAACAATATCTTCGGGGATACGAGAGCGAAACTTGCAGACAACATCACACGACGGTTTGAACAGATCCAGGTGATGACCACTAACGTGAAACCCAATGGGAGCTCTTTAAGAGCGGTAGACTCGAGACTGCCGCCAAATGCTGCTGGAGGTCAGAAAAGATCTTCGTAGACACGAGAGGTACAACTGGCAGTTAAAGAAAAGAAGGATGCATTCAGCGAATGGTTTGGGAACAAAGAGCCTTCTACTGGCGTGCGATATGTAAAGGCAAGTAAGGCGGCAGCGAAAGCAGTGGCGAAAGCCAAAGCTGATTCCTGGGAGAAGTTCGGTGAGGTGTTGGAGTCGAATTTCCACGCGGCAAACAGTATTCTGGCAGACCATCCGCCGGTTCCGAGGAGAAAAGAAGGGCAGTATAAGAGTCTTCAACGATAGGTCTGGACA